AACCGTCGCATTCTTTCACGATTTTGAATCCTAGGCTCATAATCGACTGAAGGAAGTGTTTCTTCCGAGGAGTTTTGGCAGAAGTCACCTATGATCATCTGTAGCACGACAAAATCGGGCTAGATTAGAGATTATTCATCAAGGACATTCGTAAAAGAGGAGTGTCTCATTTTGGAACCAGAAAAAGAAATTGTTCTTATAAGATTCTGATAATAGAATCGTGTTTTTCTTTTATGTTTTAGCAATGTTGTTGACTAACGAAGAATACGAAGAAGCCAAAAATACACTTCACGATACAACTTTAGCTAGGAAGTTAACAGCAAATAAACGAAAATAATTACGTAAACGACTTAAAGATTATGAATATTCAGTGAAATATTTACTATTTAAACCAACAAACTATGCCATTAAACATATTAATAAAACAACAGAAATTCCCGATTTAGAAAAATATATATTAGATTCAAAAAATGCCACTAGATTTTTCATAGATACGGAATCAACAATCAAACCATCCCATCCCAATGAACCAGCATTAATACAAATAATGATTTTAAGAAAAGATCAGTCATCAATAGTGTTGTTAGTGGAAGTACGCCATCTGCCATATCAAGAGTCACAAGAATTTGAATCAATACAAGAACTTTTTCGTGTTATATTTCAGCCAAAATCTTTGATTCATATATGGGGCAACCGCGACGAATTAAAATCCTTCGTTAAATATCAGCTACTTACAAATCAACAAATTTCTTCATTGAATGTACGAAATGAACAAGGCGAGTTCAAAACATATTGGCTACAGATTCATCCACATGACGACAATAATTCGTCATGTATTTGCGAATATTGCATTAATAAAGAACCAAATGATCCATGGTCTTTGACGGATGCGATTGCATATGTTGAACAACGATGGCTGGATAAGTCATGGACAATTTCACCGTTCAACATTGGTCTCGATGAAAAACTATATGAACAATCACCACAACAAAAAGCATATAGGAAAAAACTATCACTTTACGCTGCGTATGATTGTTTGGCTATTCATGCAATATGGAGCAAAATAGATCCTCAACAACAACAAAATCAAAGCATTTGGTCGCCTGTGCCGTCTCCATCACCACCGATATCACCAGCATATTCATGGATCTCAGATGATGAAGCACCACCGCACCAATCATCTGCCGAACTAACAAGTCGACAATCTTCACCTCCACCCATTCGCTCCGTTGTTCTTATCACATCCGCACAACCATCGTCGTCTGAACAAACAAACAAACAACCGTCAGATTCACACAATACGCCACTCATTGTCGTTAAAAAACAAAAACTAGCATTATCAGCGACAGAGAAGAAACTAAAAAATGCCCGGGCAACTCTCCGTCAACGTAAAAGAAAGTTTATGAATGAAATTATTATTCACGCAATTGACGATAGATTTTCTGTTCATAAGATCAAACAAGTCCTAAATTTTGCCTCAGTTGATTTTAGCGGGGTTTTCACATCACTTTCACCGTCTACGGGACTAAAAATGGTTATCATTGGCATACAAGATCAAAGTAAACAACAACGATATCACCAATTAATGGTAGATGACAACTGGTTTTCCACCGTCCATTTTGATCGTTTATTTTTTTCGACAAATCGTTCACGACCTCGAGCACCACCGATCGTCAACCGTCCTTATATTCGTTCACAACATTTTCATGAATCGACTTCAAGAACACATCAAGATCTGTCTAGTACAGATCGTCGAGATCGTTCTTATCATAACTCAACAATCTCAACAGATTAATTACACCATTCATCAAATTCTTCATCAAAAACCAGGTATTCAAGCAATCATTCATTTCATCGGGATAACAAATCACGAACAGATAGAAGAAGCCCCGATCGACGTAATTACAAATACCATCACAAGAATTATCAATAAATAAATTCAAAGTGAACAAAATAATTAGGGTATAGGACACTTTTGTTTTTCACCAGTAAAGTTTTAGTTTGTATCCAGTTGCAAATAGACCTTGTTTCTTCTTTTCTGTTATTTTACTTTTGGTATTTGTGCATCGCACTTGTGTGTTAGATTTTTGTATGACCGGTGATTATTCTCGCAAAAAAAAGAAGAAGTTTTACTTACTTTTGTTTACTATCTTATTCCTTTTGTTAAAACCAAAAGCCTTTTCCTTTTTTGTTTTTTGTCTTTTTTTTTGCCTAAAATAGTATTTATTCTATCTCGCTGTCAACTAAAAAACTGTAATTTCTCCTATGAGCTATTTTGTCTTCGCCATTTCCACTTTTCCATTCTTATTATATGTCTTTTGTCTGTTTTGCAAAAACGCTTGTCATTTTCTTTCATATTAACATGTTTTTTTTGTTGAAGTTTTTGATCTTATTTATTATCTTTCCGTTTTATCTTGATCTGTACTTATTCACAAAATGTTGATTGACCACATTTTTTCGTGAGAGGGAGTATGTTAGCGCAGTATGCTCTAACACGTTATCGTCTTCTTTTCTTCTTTTGGTTTTCTCTCCTTATACAGTCATTGTACACACGCGCCTATTATTCAGTTTTTCTTACGTCCTTAGTACATAGTTACTATGGACTTTAGTTATTTTTCTTTTTTTCGTACAGATACGACGGACTAGCTATTCATTCCTTTTCTTAGAAATTTCATCATCTTTTGTCATATATATAAATTTTACAATCTTTTGTCAGATATACAA